TGCACACAGCCTGGTGGGTGTGACCAGAGGAAATGTAAAAACAGCTCTGGGAAAACAGCTTTCTACGAACACTGTGGAGAGACAAGCATGCCCAGTAGCAGTAGGGGGGGAAAAAAGTGCCATTAGGCCTGAGAGTGCACAGAGTGATAGCGCAGAAGTAGCCTATGATGTCTCTCCCATGAAAGTGATGACAGGGCACAAGGCAAGCACAAATCAAAAACATGGTCCTTCTGCTAGTCTCCACAAATGAATCCCTTAAGGTGGGGTAGGAGGAGTGAGAAAGCATTCAACATTCAATTATCAAACTATATAATTATAGGATGACTCATGACATGATAATATACTGATATTATACTGATATTTTGCACAGGATTATCTCTGTACAGGCAGACACTCCAATGTGTGATGTACTGCAAGAAAGTGAACTACAATTCATGCGTTTTTCAAAAATCAGCAATCACACACTGCATTATGCAGACTTTTATAGACAGCTGTGGATAACAAATGTGTACCAAAATATACAATCAGACATACTCATGGAAGACCATAAACACACATGGCATCATATAAATGTCAATGATGACTGTCAGAAGGCTTAATTGCCAGGTTCAAAGCTAAAATATCTCATCTGAAGCAAATATATTTCTATCCAGATGCCAGAGTTGATAATGTATCACATGAAACTGTATCAAGATAAATTGCAATACAAATGATTGTCCCCATAATAAAGTTTACACAAAAGAGGTATACTGTAGATAGAATAGATAAATGTTGATGTAGCAAGCTGTAAAACCAGAGTAGGGACACTTGATGTTCAGTCTGGCAGCCAAAGGCGGAGAGTGATATGGGTTTCTCAGATAGTCTATGCAGTACTTTGACCCATCTTGTCAGCATTTTTATATTTTATGATATTAGTTTTACAACAACATACTCTCCCACCTATCGTGCTATATTTATGGTAGACATATTCTCAAAAGCCTGAAAATAAAGGGCAGACAAAATTGCACTGGGCAGCAAAGAGTATGTTATGATTAGTGATTCTCAGTATAATACTTGAAAAAGCAGACCAACTTGAAGACATGACACCTGCAGATCTACAATTAAATCCCTACTATAAGAGCAGGTGGTGTGTGTACATGCAGGCTTTTGGCTGTCGTTTGAGATCTGGGATATGCACTTACTGGCAGTCTGTAGCCTGAGAAAAGGTTGAATGCTAGCTGATGCATGTGTAGGCGTCAACAACCTGAAGAGGAGCTATAAAAGGTACCGTAAAGGTTGCTTCTGAGTGTGTAATCATTAAGCACATGAAACCAGTCTCACCTTTGTATTGTCTGACAAAACATGCATGATACTCTGCTACTTTAAAACCCTGGTGGATGTCTTCATTCCTTGTCAACCATGTGCCTGGATTACTTCACAGGATGAAGCAACACTGTCGAGAATTAGTACTGGCCGTTAGCAAGCCACACCTAGAAAGATATCTGGTACAGGCTAGGATATATACAACATTTCCGACAGATATGCGCAAGCCTTACACCCCACACACACACCCACACACACACACACACACACACACACACACACACACACACACACACACACACACACACACACACACAAATACATAGCCATTCAGATGAGAGGTTGAGTCTGGTCTCCAAAGACAAAGGGAAGCACCTGTCTTCCTTGCTCTCCCCGGATGTGGAGGTGTGTGTGTGCATCTGTGTTCATCCTATAAATAGAGCCTGTGTCTTCCCTAGCTCTCACTCCAGTGGGATCCTCTCATGTTTTAATTAAATAAACTGCTGCAATCAGGCCCAGCTGTGCCCTGTGTTTCCAGCCCGCATCAGTCAGCAGCCATGCTCGGGGGCAACATAGAGGCTGGGGTGTGAGTGCATACGAGTACATGGAGACAGAGAAACCGAGAGACAGAGACAGAGGAAGATGGCTGGGGAGAGCGAGAGGGACAGAAATGGACTAAGCTGTGAAATTGGGGCATTCTGCACTGAAGCCACCTGGGTATCATAGGAAGCCCTGCTCAGGTGTTCTGGATGGGTTCCCCGATGTGCAAACCAGCAGAAGGAAAGGAGCTTGGCTCATCTCTTTCATCCTTCCCTCTCTATATCCCCCTCCTCCCCCTCCCTTTGCCCTTTTCAATCTTTCTGGTTTTTCCTCTGAATTATTCTGATAATTCTTTACTGTGTCCCCTCCTATGTGATCCCTCTCAGCAAATCTGTTCACCTTCAAAGTGTAGCTGCCATCATTCAATGATATACTGAACACATCTGTGGCGAGAACTCCCCCATTCTAAAGCTATAGGATATCCCAAATCAATAAACTCATATTGTATGCTGAAAGATAATAATGTTCATAGGGAGAGTGAGAATTTGTGTCTTGCTGGGATGCTTTATGGCAGGTGTAGCTACAGTACAGTGAAATGATGTGAAGCCCACTCTGACAACTACCTCGGTCTTCACCTGTTCTTAAAGGGATAGGGCAGATTTTGATACATACTGTATGCTGGTTGCTTACTGGAAGTAATAATGATGTATCGACATTAGCTTAGGCTACCACTATGTGGAAGATGTCCCAGTAAGGTTGTACTTAGTTTACACAATAAACAGTAGCCCACAAAAGCATTCACACCAGCACAGTCCTCAATACTTTGAAACATCCACAACAGAATAAAACATCGTGTATGTCTGATGCTTGATTTATTGCTCAGACTCTGTATCATGGTGCTATTTTCTTTGTTAAATAGGTCCACGATACCATACACCATGTGGTCTGAGGGAAAATTGTACACTAAAGATGCTGGATTCTGTTGGGGATAGGTAAATCGAATGCTAATCCTGTGTTGTGGTTTAAAATGTTTTTGTTAACTGGCTACATTTACGGTTTTATCTCTGCTTCATAATCTGTGGCTCACTGGTGTGTCTCTAACAACAAGATCTCAAACATCAGCGAATGAACATCCGTCAATATCTCTACCAGTGAGTAAATCATACCACCTTATGTCAAAAAATGTGGAACTATCCCCCCCCCCAAATGCACTAGATTTTTCACCAGGCACCCGAAGTGTAAAAGACTAAACTGTAGCTTTTAGTAACAGCAGCAAAAGCTGCCTAGCTCCTGGTTACCATCTATAATTAATGGACTGGTGCTGCTGGTCCTTGTTCTGTTTCTGAACTAACCCCCAGTAAAGCACATGGCCATTACAGCCCTACAATAGTCAACACCCAGGAGGATGGATATGGCCAAGCTCTCAGTCAGTTACCAGACACCATCAATACTTGAGCTGGAAAAATAGTGAACAAGTGATTGAAGGATTATCTTTATCCTGGTTGCTCAACAAATTATTTGTTTATTAGTTTCACATTCAGAGGAGTCATTGCTGTCTGTTATTGGGAATTACACAGCTATTCCTGTCTGTAATGTGTCCTCCATATGAGAATTGATTTAATTATTGATTAAGTTGTCCACAGCAGGTAAAAAGCGTGAAAGGATCAATACCCTTTTTGATGAGTTAGAAGGACCAGATCTCACTCTTTGATGTTTTAGAAAGGCTACACTTGTATGACATAAACAGCATTTTGGTCACACAGTCACTCCCCACGCCAACAATCACAGGATCTCCTTTTTGGCAGTGAAAGGCCTTCAGCTATTGATTGTAAATCTGTTGGAAATGAAAATGTTTTTTCGGACTTTCTTCTATAAACCATAGCATTGGTTTACCGTTGTATTTGGGCTCAGATAGAGCCTATTGGTGTGGGTTGTTTTGATTGCAGCAGACACTCTTTAACAATGATTCAAAGAAGCCAAACCTTGCCAAACATGCCTGCTCGGCAAGCACAACAGGATATCCAACAAACGGTGGCTTAATCAGTAAATAGGAAAAAGTCTCAGCAGCCAACTTTTAACTGCACTTTGCATTTCCTCAGATATTTCCTTGAGAACTTATGCCCAAAATAAAAGAATGTATGCAGCCATTTTATTGCTGCTCATCTGCACATTCATTTGTGTTTTTTTATTCGATTCTGTGGAAAGTTATAACAGATATGACTGGCACAGAGTCAAGGACAGGGTCCAGTGAAGGTTTACAATTTAATAGTTAGTGCTATGCATCAAGATAAGCTCTGCCCAATCAGCTACAATTAAGTGACTGGTGTTTGCACATCACATGAGTGATAATGACCAGAAATAGCAAGCAGGATTGGCCAAACATATCTAGGCTGATAAGTGGACCAGGGCCCGATCTATACGGGCCTCCAAGGAAGGATGGGTGATACCACAGACAGACAGTGAGCCCACACACATATTCAATGAGATTACTAAAAGAGTGACAGAGAAAGAAAGAAAAAGAGAGAGAAAGGAGAGAATGATGAGACATAAATGAATTAATGATAGGATGGATTCAGGACATGCGATATTACACAACTGCATGTGACTTCCAGGCAGCTAATGATGTCAGCAACAATGTGTTTGTCAGTGATCTCTATGCTCAGGTTGACTTCACCAATGTAATTTCGGCCCATGAAACCATGACTCATAATCTGACCTTTGCCCAACCCCAAAAAACCCCAAAAGCAGTCGGACAGCTTGACAGTTGTGAACTACACGACTCTACTATAGATGCCAACAATGAACCCAAAATCAAAGATACCATAATTCTTCCAATGGCGCCAGTCACTATGAGCATTTTAATGATAGCTGTAAGGCCTGCTAACATCAGTATGATTACAGTAGCCAGGATGTTCATCAGTAGCACTGTTATTATCATGGCCAGGTACATGGATATTATACGGTTGAGTTCCAGCATCCAGCCGAGTCTCATCATCGACTGGGAGAGATCAAGGCTCAGCAGAGCCGCATGGCCCCTTCGCTTACACTCCCAATGGAAAGCAGAACTGTCACACATGAACAGCCCATACAAACAACCTCACTCCATCCTAATGTCTGAGTGGTATTATTAATAATATCATCGGTTTGATTTGACTTACCGATCCCGGGGGCGGAGTAGATGAAGTACAATGCGGAGGTGGACAGTGAAAAGAGGAATAAAAGCCCAAGGAATGACCTTCTCCGGAACCGCAAATGTGTCGGCATTATACAGGCAGCGAAAGCACACACACACACACACACACACAGGCACGTTTGCGTATCTACAACGACGATAGACCAGTTCCGATGTGTCCAGATGCCAGAGCCAGGAGGTCCGCGGACAGCCTGGGTTTAACGAGCCGTGTAGGGTGGCCGGGTCTGCGGCAGCGGTGGGAGCAGGCGACTAGGAAGTCAGTCTATTTCCGCGACAGGTCGAACACAGGAGAGCTCCTCCGGTATTTCATCAAGACATTCAAAATCCCATTCCTGAGAGGGCGGTTTCGGTTTTACATGAGAGTGTTTCCGATGTCGAAACGGCTGACGATGATACCGCAGTTCAACCTCGCCTGGTGTTTTCAGTGATAGACCATCATTTGGCTCACACACTACGTCGTAGATGGTGTTTAGCCGCTCCCGCAGTTTGCCTGCCTGCCTGCCTACTGGCCCTATGAATGGGGCAGCCCCTCAGCAAAATGAGCAACACCGAGTGGGCGTTAACAGCCGACAAACACACCTAACGTTACGTCCTTTACGGCCGTTAAACTCCGTAACCGAGAAACCTGGCGACCGAGAAATTCGTAGCAGTGCAACCTTGACAACCGTCGTCTGACGTCGTGACAGCGTTGTTGTGGCATATGGCACGGGGAAATATTAAGCTAGCTGTTTAGCTTAACAGGATTGACATATCTGGTCTAATGCAGAATTTATCTATTAATTTAATGTATTTATTTGATTTATTTTAAGCTTTATGGTCATTTTTGAGGCTGTATATGAGTTCAGTCCACACTCCAATAAATGGGGTGGACACTCATCAATATAACACACACACACACACACACACACACACAACAAATAAATTAACATTATAACATTCGTGACTCTTTTCAGTGTCTCAGATATTTATCCCAAAAATCAACACTAAAAACATCAACCTTTAGTTGTACTGGATTTATAGCATATATAAAATGTAATGCAGGGTTGTTAGATTGTTCATTTTATCATATACTTTTACATATCATCCATCTATATAAATCCTGCACGCTTTACTGTATAAAGACATGCATATACTATACATAACCACTCACTTCATGTATAAGTAATCTACCCATTCACTGTTCATTCCTTTGCACTATTTGTTTACAAGCTACAGAACACTTGACTCATATGTAGACCATTGACAATATATAATGTGATCTAAATGTTGTGTGTGTTGTTGGCCATTGTTTTATTATTAAATATATATATATGATTTAAAAGAAAACTATATATACACGCCTATTTCTCACCTACTTGTATGTATATAATAGTTAAGATAAGAGATAAGATGTTCCTTTATTGATCCCCCTTACGAGAAATTCAAAGGTTGTGTGCTTATTCTGACCTATCTTTGTTCAGCTTTGTTGTTCTTGTTTGTAGCTGCATGTCTATTTCTATCCTCCTGTAAAATGTTCTATGTGTAAGTCTTAATGAAGCTGATTCTTATTTTACTATTGTTTATGGCATTGAAACAATCAGATCCAGACAATGCAAAAGCTAAGCTAAGGGTGCTTATATAATGTGAAAGCTGTGATCTAACCACCGAATACAAATGTATGTGTTTTTTTGGAGGGATCTTGCAGTGTAGTATATGAAAGGTTGCATCGGTTTTTAGTATTTCCTATATCTGCAGGTAATTTGCAGCTAGTGCAGGCCACAATACAAACTACAATATCCATAAAACAGCAGGCGCACTGCTGACACTGCACTATATATACTGGCTCATGGGAAATAAAGAACACAAGAATTATTGTGAGCCATCGGCACTTCATTCAAAACATAGACAGGGGGATTTTATCCACCGTGACAAACACAAACAGAAATACAAGTTTTTTGGCAGCAGTTGCATCAAACCGCTTCCGTTTGTTTCTTTGGTATTCGGTCACGTCGCCCATGTAACGTAAAGACTACAATTCCCTACAAGGCCGTTACCAGGAAGTGCTCTCGTGATGTCAACAGCTACACGGGGCTGTCGACATGGAACTTGGAGTGTTGTTCGTTACAAAACGTTGCTCTCGGGTTTAAACTCGCCGGTTTTAGAATGAGAGCCGTTAGCCATACAGCTGTGTTGCTGTCCCTTTTGCTGTTGTTCGTAAATCCGTGCGCACCAGAGCGAGCTGAGAGGGAAACCCCGTTGGACCTGCGTGAGAAAGATGACGGAGGGGATGTGAATCCTAATGATAACACTCCAGTTGAAAACCAGCAGACATTAATAAAACATGAAAATAAAGATGAACTACAGCCAAACGGAGAAACGAAAGAGAGGGACGGACAATCTGTCAGGTTTGAGCCCACATATATTAATTTTAGTTCTCTCTCTTTGACCAATATAGCTAACAAGCTAGCAGTAGCTTCGTTGTACGTAACCTAAGCTAACACACAATTTAAGGACACGTTGCTAAGTTAGCCTGCTTAGTAACAGTTGGTGATTATTGTAATATTAGATTTTGTACTGAAAGATAAGCAAATAATAAGCAATATGAGGCTTTTGTTTTACGTAATATATTTACAGTGGTTTCTCTGTAGCATTACCAAATAAGAGACAACGCAAAAGTTACTTTACATTGTACAAAGTAAAATAAAAAAACATTCTAGGGGACCACCTTACCTTGACATAGCTATAAATAATACCTACCTTAATTACCTCTAAATCTTTTCTTGGTCCCTTCATTTGAGTCTCTGGTTTAGTAAGGTGTCATTACCCTTTAATGTGACACACAAGTCGGCCACGAATGTCTCAACCCAACAAGGATAACTAGGATTTATGATAATAATAATAACAAGAAGAAGACTCAGCACTTTTCAAAACAAAGTTAAAGTGTGTGTCTTACATGGCAAAAAGTGTAAAATTTGTACAAAAATTGTATTATAGTGTTACTGCAACAAAAATTCTTCGTGTGATTGACTGTCTGCCCAAGTTAAGTTACTTTTGTCCAATTATGCATAGATCATGCCCTGTAGATGCACTGATACATATTTAAGTCATCTTTTCACACATCTGTTTCTACTCAACATAGAGGGCTTCTTGTCCAAGGGCCAGCAATCCTTAGAAACAGAGAAGGAGACCCCCAGTATTTTTAAAGTTTAGTATTAATGCTACACTTACAGGTGTGTGTGTTTTATTTTACCTTTTACATTTTAAAAATAACATGATTTGAATGATTATTCTCGAATATGGGATGTATATTGACAGCCAGAGCCTTATTTATCCATTATCTTGATTGATTGATTGATTGACTGTATTCTTCACGCCAACATGCTTTTTCTCCTGACTGTGTTGTTGCAGTAAGTCCAATGATACTGAAAACAACAGCAATGAGACAATCCACTCCACCAAACCTGCTGTCAAGCCGACGACCCCGGCACCCCCAACCGCCAAGCCCATTTTGCCCATGCAGACAGGGGTCGAGGCCCAAGAAGAAGAGCAGTCCAGCGGGTTGACCATATTCTTCAGTCTGCTGGTTATTGGTTAGTATCTCTGTTGCTGCATTGCTGACTCAACCTTTTCTGTTGTAGGCTGTTAGAGTAAGGAAAAAAGGCGTCATGCACATTGTTACAGGAATGTAGTCTAGTGTCCTCCTTGAGTACACAGAGTAGGAAGGAAGAAGGAAATGAACCACTCCATGACCATTGTGGTTCATGCAATATACATAAGTTAGACCTCATACAGCTGGCAATGGTGGACAGTTGTACAGCCACTTTAGTGTTTCATTAAATCAGATGTGTGGCTAGTGATTTAGGTTGAGGGAAGTGGATAACGGAAAGGATGTGGTTACACATTATGTGTAAGGTCATGAAGTGCTTCTTCAGACACAGAATGTCCATTATGCACTTCAGTTCACTGCAGGTCAAGTCACATGCTTACCACTGTAAGGGTTTTTTGGCAAGGAAATAGCATACATCATGCAAAAGGTTCCCAATTAGACTCATCCACTTTGGACACACAAAATTTGATTTGATCTTGAACAAAGTATTTCAGTGTGACCAACATTTGATTGGTTGCGAGAAGCATAGCATTTAGTCATAGTCATTTGTCTTCTGAAGTTAATACCAACTCATCAGTGGGTTGACTGAGAGGGCATAGGTCAATAAATGATAGACCACCTTAGAGTACAATCTAGAAACCGCACATCAGTCCTAAATAACACTGCTCCGAACCCATATTAACATTTGCCTCAACAAGTGTGTGTGTTTTTAATTAGGCCTGAATTTAACATCTCCCTTACAACAAAACAGTTCAGCTTTGATGAACCGACCTAGCCGGCTTCAGTATTGCATACACTGTCTCATTTGCTGAACTGCATTTTTGCTGTATTTATGAATTGGTGTTTACTTTACTGTGCCCTTTGGGGGTGTCATCATAGTTATGCTAATATGTGTACACATTGATTTAGCACATTGATATACTGTGCATTTGACATTAGCCTATGGTACTGTTAAAAGCTAATTTCATGTTTTAATTGGGACCAATTATCTTTTATTGTTCAGTCTCAGAACTGTAATTCTAAATGTCAAGCAACTGCTATGTAGTCATTTATGTCAAGCAAGTGTATTTGAACTTATTTGCATAAGATATTGTTATGTGATATGTTTTTCATAGACATCCCTGTTAGGGGTTGACAATATAGTTTTTTTTAAGGCCCGATTCCGAGACAATTATGTGGCGTTTATTACTGCAAAACAGCTCAGGAAAGCATTTAGTTGGTTTCATTTATTTAAATGTTATATATTTTAACAACATGTAATTGCAGGAAACCTGTTTTTCGAAACTAGGCTACTTCATTACTAATTGTAACTATAGCTGAATATGTACAATAGCAATAGAAGGGATTGTTGAACTTGGATTAACCAGTGGTGGAAGAAGTACTCTTTTACTTAAGTGCAATACCTTAATGTAAAAGTAATACAAGGAAAAGTCTTGCATTCAAAATCTTACTTGAGTAAAAGTTAAAATATATTTAAAGTAACAAAATTAAGAGTTCAGAATGGCCAATTTCAGAATAGTATATATTATATTACTGAATTGTAATCATTGATGTATTTATGTTTTCATTTATGTTGCAACTGGTAAAGGTGGAGCTTATTTTATTTACTTTATATGCTACTGGGTAGCTTAATTTATAACAATATATCAATTTATTAGTTGATTTTAATTTTATATTACTAATCTGAATCTGCAAAGTAATTAATAACTATTAACTAAACTTATCAAATAAATGTAGTGAAAGTTAAGTCTCTAACAACAATATCCTGCACCTCTCTACCTGAAACAGAGACAGCTTCAGGACACACCTCTGCCTTACCTTGGAAACACAACTCCGCTCACTCACCGGAGTCTCCTCTGTTTGGCACAGCACACAGACTCTTTCTAAAGACGATTAGCCAATCAGATAGTCCTGTGAGTGAGACATTGAGCCCAACCCTAGAGTGGTGACTACAGATAGAGAGAGGCTGCAGCACCAGAGCCAAAGTAGCATACTTTTGAATTAATTAATTTTATTGCAGATAGAATAAAATATAACGATAATCGGAAAAATGCTGAATATCGGATCCGATAATTGGCCAGGCTGATAATCGCTCGACCCTTAATTCCCGTCCAGTCTACAGCAGGACCAGAGAAAAGATCCTAACACTACATGATGTGGGGGTTATTTTTGGGCTGATCTGAGTTGGTGTGACATGATGGTTGGGACGTGGATGTATTTGTCCTGAATATTCATTCAGTTGTCTTTGCTCTCCTCACTCACCCCAGGTATCTGCATCATATTGGTGCACCTGCTTATCAAGTTCAAGCTGCATTTTCTTCCAGAGAGTGTGGCTGTCGTGTCCCTTGGTGAGTTCTTCTTATGTAACATATTTCTGTGCGCAGGCTGGGTCTAGGAACGTGCAATGTTTCTGTATTTAAGAGCTCTCTAGGAAATGCAGTTTTTTTAAGACGGTTGTAGGACAGCAAACTAAAAGCAGGCAGAAATAGTTGATGCCTTTTCTCATGATTTACGTCTTTCACTCCGGCTTCTTCCCCTTGTGTTTTCCCTCTTAAACATATTGTGTGTCATAGTAAATTTCTAACATAATTGCAAATTTCCAATTTGAAATAATAAAGTCAAATATGTGTCTTTTTTTATGATGAGCAAAAACTAACCCAATGGTATCACTGACAGCCTTTCCCAAGATTTAGTAAGTGCTTTGTTTTTCTTATTTTTTTTCTTCCAGAGATTCAGTTTTGCTACTTGTGTGAGGTCACTTAAGGGTAATTCCCCTTCCTGTAATGTCTTCCATTGTCTCCCACTTCCAACATGTTTATGCAGTTACAGTCACTCAAACTCAGTGACACACATCCGTATCTGTCCTGACCCTGAAGGCCTGTTCCTCTTGCATACCCTGCATACTGCATGTGAGACGGAGCTCATATCTGTGTTTGGAGCAGGGGACTCTGCTGAACAGAGATAACACTCTGCTTACAAATCAGGAAGGACCACTTTTCCTTCCTCATCACTTCCTCTTCCTCATCTACTCCTTATGTGTCTTCCTCTTCACCATCCCTTTACATATTCCCATAAATCTGGATCTTAGAGAATGCTTTGATGCTTACAATTTCTTTTTCCATCTTATCTGTCTTTCTCTGTCCTTTTACACATCTTTGTGTATTCCTCACCCTTTCAACTAATGTTCTGCTAGGCCGTGTAACAAGAGAACTGAGGGCCCAAGGGGACTTTCTCAAAGACAAAACTAAGACAAAAGCACTATACGCTTCGCATCTAATTCATCCCTGAACTATGGTGGACATTTGCCAAGAATTCATTTAATTTTAACCACCAAAATAGTCTCTTTGCCTCAGGTTTGCACTTAATCTGTATTCTGGTTGTATTGAAATTTTCATATGAAATACTAAAATATTTAAACAGTGTATTGTTTTTCTTGTCTCCTCGTTCTTTCCAGGGATTCTAATGGGAGGCTTCATTAAGATCATTGAGTTCCAAGAACTGGCCAACTGGAAGGTATCGTTTGATTCCTTCTTTGTACCCTTCTGCACGGCTCATGTGTCTGCACTGCACTGGCCACACTTCTTGTTCACAGTGAACACACAGTGTACAATTAATGATGCTTAGTTTGGTCTAATTTGTTTAGCATGAAGCAAAACAGAGGCATTCCTCCACACACCAAATAAACACCTTTTGCACAGGTTTGTGCCATGTAGATATTGCCTCTCGTTCAGCCTAACCCCTTGAGTTATAGTAGAAAGTTACTTCAAAAACATAAACAGAGCTGCACCCATTGCATTCTTAGTATTAACTGTAATTTAGATGGCAGTGAGAGATGTCAGCATTATGTTAGTGTTGGCTTATTGAAAACATTCTACATTGGACTATATAACAACTTTTCCAAGTTGTTGTATCATGCAGTTTATCTCCCAGCAAATTCTCCGGGAACCCCCCCATCCACGCCCACCCAATAAACATGTGTTGTCCTTGTGCTGTACTCTCTGCTCAGTTATTCATTTCCTGGCCACTGTTTTTGTCACAAATCTCATCTCTGTATTTCCACACTGTTACCTATCCAGTTTGACACACACCATTCTTTGCCTGCTATCTTCCCTTTTGTGTCCCTATCAGCCCTGTTTTTTTTTCCTGGTTCTCACAGCCTTTAATTAACATTCCTTGTTCTCTGCCAGTGAGTGAGAGGAAGAATGAACAACAGAGGTAGAGAGAGGTAGAGAGAGAGAGAGAGAGAGAGAGAGAGAGAGAGAGAGAGAGATGCAGACTGAGGGGGGAAGGAGGAAAAGAGGACAGGTTGTGTCAATGTTTCTTGCACACTAGGGCCCATTGTTTTTTAGCCTGGGGGCCCCAGTGTGTTGCTGAATCATCGGCACTAGTAACCAGAGCCCCGGAGCCCCTTTACCCCCTTTACCCCTGTCCTGTGAATCTTTAGACTGCTATCTCTGTGTTTGTGTGTAGCTTAAAGCAAGCAGACCTGCTCACCTGTCCATATATAGTAGCAGAAGTGGCTTCATGGCCTATTATTACTATATTAGAGTGTAATGAAGAAACACTGTAAGAGGCAGTAGCTTCTATGGAGCGGCATGGATATGCCAAGTGGTTTATAGACCACTGAAGACTTCAAAAGACCCAGGCCCTGATGCAAATCCATTATCTCTGACCTATTTGTTTTTAAGAGAGCCCCTCAAAAAGATGTACCATGTAACCTGTTCAGTGAGTAACACAGCCAGGAGCAAAACTGTGATCCTGTCAGCATCAGTTTTTCAGCTGCAACTCTTTTCAAACTGTGCATACAGTGCACTTACTGACAGGTCCATCTATTACCATCCCAGTCAATGGAAGGCATCTGTCTATTTTCCACTATCACTAGCTCATTAGGCAGGTTTAAACTGGATGCATCCTCACGCTTGTCGCTACCTTTGCAGTTTGCGTCATCTCCTCTAACTAGCATGTTTCGAAAGCTGGCCCAGTTGGCTAATCTAGCAAGCCTCTGGGACTGCCCCACAAACCACCAAGGGTGCACAAACCCCTTAGGCAGCAGCATCCTGTCATCACAGGCTTTGCCCTCGCCTTTCACCAGCAATCTGCTTTCTGTGCTGTTTGCTACCAACCCCTCTATCTTCAGTCCTCTCCCTACAATCCAGTGAATGAAGAGTTCTTGCCTTTAGTGCTTTTTTACTACTTCACTGCTTCTCCTTTTCTCTTATCTGCCCATTTCTCCCCTGTGCTCTGACACAGACTAAAGAAGAAATAGCATGTTGGTAAGAAGTAACACACCAGCAGCAATTTGTTTCTCCGGCAAAGCACAGAGCGAGATACATAGGTGAATATAATTGCCTGAACAATGTACTCCAGATAATAATTTAGTTTTCTCTCTGCTTTTACATTCTAATCTGTACTCTAGTATCTGCACTCATCATTTTTCCTCAGTGGCTGCAGTGGTTTGTTTTAAGCCCCAAAGGGCAGCACATACTTTTAATAGATCTCTCCCATGCCGCAGAGAGAGAGTGACAAAGGGAGAGCAGTTTTTAATTGTGGTTTCAGGGGCCTTTTTCCCATGTGGTGATGTCACTGTGTGTCTAAGCCGAGCCTCCAGGGATTCTGTACTGTGAACGAAGGTCTCTCCATCGTTCCCACTCACATTTTTCTGCTTTCTCCCGACCCTCTTTTAACTGTGCTCCCTTCATCTTTGGCATTCATCTTGTCTCATTTAGTTCAAGTTCTGTCTCAGCACTTCCCTAGAGTATGCCCATCCTCTGCTCTCTGGTTTTATCCATTTCATCTTTCCTTCTCTTACAACATACATTTCAAGATCTTTACCCTTTCTCAGGCCACATATTTTCTCATTGTTTTTTTCTGACCCTAAAATCTAGTGCTAAATTGATTAGTCAGTCAACACATATCCAATAACCAACAGTTTTGATAATGAATTTATCATTTGATCTGTTTAAAGGTTCAGTGTGTAACATTGAAGATCTTTTGACAGAAATTGAATATAATTTGCATCACTATGTTTTCATTAGTCTATAATCACCTAAATATAGGAATCATTAATAATTTGTTATTGTAGAATGGACCTTTTATATCTACAGGATGCCCTTACGTGCAGTCGGTCATGTTGAACAGCCATGTTTGTACAGTAGCCCAGAAGGGACAAACCAAATACTGGCTCTATGGGGGTGTTTTCACTTTTCATGCATTTTGCGGCCACCGTAATTTCTCCTTTAATGCTTGGAAGGGGAGGGTTACGCGAGGAAGTTGCGATCTGATTAAACTAAATCCTATACACTAGACCCTTAACATGCAAACAATACCCATTTCCATGGTTTCAACTTCTCAAATGTGATGATTTGCTGCTTTTCTTTGATTTATGTCGTTGAAGTTGAATACCTTTGGGGTTGGACTGTTTGTCCGACTCAGCAAAAATTTTAAGACCTTATGCGTTGCAAAATTGTAAATGGCCATTTTTAGTCGAAAAAAGAAATGAATTGTCAGACTTTTTATATTGTCAATAAAATAAACATACACACACTTATATTCATTAAACATTTTTTTTGTTATGCAATAGTTCTCACTTTGTATTTGTATTTCAAGTCTACATTTTTTACTATTTTATACTAAGTTATTTTTTTCTTATGAGTAGCCTATATTATTATATTTATATATTTCACACTTGCTTTGGCAATGTAAATATTTGATTCTGATGCCAAGAAAGCCCTTTTGAATTAAATTGATAATAATTGTAACCTTTTGTAAACTTTTGTAGCCCTACTAGAATCAGTCTCTTACCTAGAAATAATGCAAAGCTTGCTTACATCTGCCTATGTAAATCTGTGTATACATGTGTATGCAAAGTCGGTGTGAGCTTGTTCAGTCGCTCTAGTAGACATCCCTTTAAGTGGCAATGAAACATGTGCTTGCATGAATGCATGCCAAATTACAGCTGTAGATGTCAGATTGTAGTGTATGCATGGCATACCTTCTTCCGTGTCAGTTGTTAATATACATTCCTGACCTTTCACCTGCCTTAAGGGATAGAATTGTGCCAGAGATAAATGTCAAGAGAAGGTGGTAACCTGGAAGCACTCCTTGTTGGCCTACTTTTCCTGAGATTTGAATGCATAATAAGACAAAGTACGCAGGAACATAGCCTTTTACTCCAGCTTACATCCTGCATCCTGTCTACGCCTGACCTATTTTTAGGAAACTTGTAGTCAGACGAGTGTAGTAGGTTGGTGTTGACAAATTTATCACAAGAGCCAAAATTACCATTGTGACAGCTGTGTATGGGCTTTAAGTAAACAATGTGCCGTAGTATTGTCTCATCTCATTCACCAATCACCTCATGCCCCTTTGGGTCTAAGCTCTGAATAAATGGTTAAATGAAAAAAAAAAAAAGGGTAAAAAATTATTATGGATATATTGCCAGCACTGTCAATTTTGGACAGTTAATTTTACCAGTCACACTGTGTATTCAGATTTTGGCACTGTATGTCAAATAATAGATTGTACATTTAAACATTGCTCTGGTTCACCTCTCAGCAGTTTGTTAACATATAGCAACTTCTATCTCTACAGTTTTTATGGAAATAAATAGATACTTTTTAGGACATGCTCATCAAATCTGGAAGTAATTGTCGTCTTGTCCATCTGCTTGTGGGGTTGTTGGGATCGAGTAAGGCTCTACCAGCTGTCAAAACCGGCTTCCACAATACAATGAGAGAGATTGTTGACTGGATGGAGTAAATATGTGCCGGCCCTCTTCCATCTTTCTGACAGACACAAGTGCAGTGTCAACGGCGGGCCAGAAATAGATCTTCTCCATGAACATTCACTAATGCATACTGTATATTGATTTTACATTACCAGCATAGATTATGCACAGATACACACTCTCTCTCACATAAAGACACACACACACACACACACACACACACACACACACACACACACTGGCTTATACAAGAACACATGGTGCATCATGCACAGACACATTGGCAGCCAGAGCGTAATGCACGGGCACATGATGCCTACGCCTGATCTGGGAGGCTGGCCCATTTAGCTGAGAAGCAACAATGATTTCATTATATCGCTGAAATAATCAGAGAGCTAAGGTCACTGGGATACTGTGTGTGTGTGTGTGTGTGTGTGTGTGTGTGTGTGTGTGTGTGTGTGTGTGTGTGTGTGTGTGTGTGTGTGTGTGTGTTTGAGAGAGAGCGAGAGAGAGAAAAAAAAATTAGTGACTCAAAAGATAAAACAGCATATTTAGGTATTCACATGTCCTTTTACAGCATGTGTGAAAGAAAGAGCATGTCAGTAGTGTTTGAGTGCATGAATTGGCTTGCAGGCAGGCAGGCAGGCATTCCCCCTGATGAGCAGCTGACGTTTATTTGTGTGGGTTTCTTACCCTGAAGTCAACAACCACATTTTTTTAGTTTTGTCGGATAAAGGTCTGTTACTAACTAACAGCTCAGGCATGGACTCCCTCGTCACCACCCTATCTTCGATGACTAAATATTAAGTCAGCTGATCGTTACTGAACCGACATTCATGGTCATATGAATTATAGGAAATATTTGTTGAGGATTGTGTAATAATGCACAAGCGGATGTTTTATCATTCAGTAACATACATCGTTTGCTCAGTACAGAACTGATTAGCATTAGGATAGTTTTGTTTGGAGATCATAATAAGCTCATTCAAGGTGACGAAACATGACAGAATGTGTATCAACGCAGTCCACAAACAAATCATTTTGGAAATAACTCATTGTTCATTTAAAAATGCTTCCTGTTCACTGTACTGAGTGTTTCTGAATTGTTAAGCTACTCCCAGCTCCAGTTAGTTGGTTACAAGTTGTTACTATAAGCTAGTGTAGAATCAGCTGTCTCTTACCCTACCACTGCTGCTTTTTTACTGTGAATTGTAAGTTACTTTGTCTCTGTCCTTCTCTTAAAGGAGGAGGAAATGTTCCGACCCAACATGTTCTTCCTTTTGCTCCTGCCGCCCATCATCTTTGAATCTGGATACTCTTTACATAAGGTACTGCAGAGCGTGCACACAACGCTGAATTTACACGGCTCAAGTCTGTCCAGTTAGAAAATGAGGCTTGGCACATTATAAAAGTGACGTTCTTAAAACAAACATTTGCATTTAAACGTAACAAATAATTAAATAATTCGGCTAGCAGTTTAGAGAATTTACAGTAACAAGAATCATAGCAACTTTGCATATACAGCACAATGCAATTCACAATAAATTAAGACAAAATAACCTAAGCAGGCTTTAAGTTCTCTTATGTCCCAGGCTGGCTATGATATGAAAACATAAAAGCATAAGCAGCTCTGCTCTTTGTGTGTGCTAGTCTGTGTTATCATTTATGTGCATTATGTGCATTTATGTGCATGTGCATATGATCATAACTGACATTTAAAATGAATTGGCAAATTCAAAAATGTGTCTTGTAACATTTAATTATTTATTTTAAAGATCTTATTGGCCTTCTGTTCCTTCTGAAACAATCTACTGATATTAATGATAGAGGTTTTAAAAAGCAATGGTCTTAGTCAGTTACATTCTGTATTATGGTTATGACTATTTCCTCTGTACCTGTACTGCCCTACTTTTCCTTTTAGAGCTGGCTACATGTTATGTAACACTATGTAACTTCAAATGTCATGCTGCTAAACCCATGAATACTTAAGCTGTGTGTCCATGTATGTTCAGGGCAACTTTTTCCAGAACATTGGCTCCATTACGCTCTTTGCTGTGATCGGCACAGCTATCTCTGCCTTCATAGTCGGAGGGGGTATCTATTTCCTTGGGCAGGTGAGAATTGTACTACTATCTGTTAACAACTGTGACAATGCCAAGGCTTGTTCAGAGAATGAGTGCAAACAGTTGTTTATCGAGAACATTTGTGCTTTTGCAAATGCATTATTATCTATTCATTGTTCAGAAGCTCTCTTGCTTTACAGATGTAGACATGATCAGATCCCCTTGTTGCAACTCCTTACAATGTGTGTGTCTGTGTCTTGGTATGTTCTTCCTTAGGCTGATGTGATCTATAAGATGTCCATGACTGATAGGTGAGTATAGCTTGCATTAATGTGTTTATTGCATTCCTGTATCACTGTAACAGTGGATTTCTCTAAAGCTCTGACTTCAAGGGAAATTGGGTATTAGTATTTCAAAGTATTTGTGACTTCCAGATAAACCAGCTACCGGAGGTGACTGATACATAAGGAGTATGCTACTCCACACCCATCGGTTTTTTTAAGAGAAGCCAGGGGTTGTTGTTGTTCACAAGTGTGTGTCCTTATTGTTGCGCAGTCATCATGAGTGTGAGTGTGTCTTGCGTTCAAGCAGTGAGTTTGCTTATTAATTTACTTCACCAAGCAAGATATACTTTCAGTCCCATGTGTCTTTCTGTTTGTGTGCTTGTGTTTGTAGAAGGATAGGACTCAGAAGAAACAGCTTAACAGATTTTAATGACATACAGGGGGAATTCAGGAAGTCAGCCAAGAAAGCATTTATTAGATTTTGGCAGGGAAAGTCCCAAACTGTAGCTATTCCATCTTTTTTCTTTCCTGGATTTTTTTGTTCCAACAAGCAATGTATCTATCCACCCATTTCTGTCCACATGGATTTTCAATTTTTCCCCCTGTTTTTTCCCTTCTTTCTTTTAAATATTCTGGGAGTGGATTTATGTATTCTCCAAAATACATGGCATTTATTGGAATAACAATGTAAAGGATTGTGGCTCATCAACAAACACATGTTTGTTTGAGATGCCTCTCCTGCCTTAATTCCTTTTAAATATGTTTATGCCTGTAAAGGTGTCTTACTATTACCGTTTTAACTGTTATCATATTCACTCCCTTGCTGTAGTTTTGCCTTTGGCTCACTGATCTCAGCAGTGGACCCTGTAGCTACCATTGCCATCTTTAACGCTCTCAACGTGGACCCTGTCCTCAACATGCTGGTGTTTGGTGAGAGCATCCTCAACGATGCTGTCTCTATTGTCCTCACAAAGTAAGTACCCATCCACTCTCTCGCATCTTGTTTATATTCCAGGGCATACATTGCCACATTTACATGTGTCCATGCATGAGGTCTTCACCACCGGCAACCTTAAGGACGATGTGCACGAAGTCCGCAGATGTTATGAAAGGCTCAGATATACACTACCACTACTGTCCAGATGTTGCACACAGAGAAAACACACCCAGAAGTCATAAGTACATGCACACTCTGACTGTGATGTCTCTTTTAGATGTGAATTTCTGGAACAGGGCTAAGAGGCATCTGTGAGGAACCAATATACTTAAATTTCTTAGCTCTATTCTAAAGATTATACAACCATGGTATTTACATTTCATTTTATCTTTCTATACTTCAAAACTTTACCCAAAAGTCATTTTATCACCTGTTTCGGTGAGGACATTCTCCTCAGAGATTGCTCAGTCGTGTAAAAGTCAGCCAGGGTGTAGTCAGGCATCTTCCAATCTTTGAACCGCCACACTGTGACATGAAGCAAGTAGGAAAATAGAACCAGTGACCTATTTTATCACGTCAGACATGCACTTTATGGTAAACCCGTGGTTTCTAATGCAGGAGGATGTGGGTACATTTTACGTGTGAAGTGAAAAGCTGGTACTCAAAAATGTGATCTGACATTCACAGATGGGGCCTGTCGGATTTTTTCGAACTATCTGTATCAACCCAGATTTCTAATAATAAGGACAAAAAACGGTTCCTCTGATGCCCATATGTTTTTACAAGTGTCACGAAACTTGCTGTATCACTCTCTCAGAATTGTTTATCAAGACTATCCAGTGTCCGCAAACTAGTGGCAACACACAACAACAAAATCTTGACAGACAAGTTTGACGGAAACAGACAGCTGGCAGGATTGCCTTGTTTGTACCCATTGCTATCATCCTATCTGCTGTCTCTGTACTCACTTTATTGTTGCCTTATCTCTCCTACTCACAACCAGCTAAATGTGCAAAGTGATCTCAAGTGTCTGCATGCTCCCGTAGAGTAAATTAATGCATGAATAATAGATAGCTGAACCGCCCTGGCAGTTTGCTTGTTGTTAGCACCTCACAGACCGGTTTTCTTAGAAAGCTATTTCACAGTTTGCTCAGTTGTTTACAACAGCCTAATGCCTTTGCTTGGGGGCTTGTTAATAAGAATTCACATTATTAATTATACTGTGTTGTTTGGCTGTTCTGGATAACTGTTATTATAAGAAGGATTTAAATTGCACAATAAAATTCAGTGTCTGTGTTCTTACTACATCAGTAACGATAAAATATCCAAAATGCGATTTATTTATTTTTTATGCAAACATGATGATTCATTCTTTTCACCCAACTAAGGTAAAATAATAAATGAAGTGGGAGAGTTTGGTAGCTCAGTACTGACAGCTTTATTTGCCAAGAAGCATATCAAAGATGTTGTAAAGTCATGACGTGTCATTATAGTTTATTTATTGTTGTTTTAATGTTGCTGTTAAGCTGTTGGGGTGGGACAATAGAGCTGACCTTTGTTTTGAAAACTCTGCATACACTCTAATACACACACACACACACACACACACACACACACACACACCCCTACCTTTCATACTTTGTGGGATTCAGTGGTAGAGTTTTTCTGCCCTCTAGGGTCAGATAGAGGTATTACAACAAAAAATGTGTTTAAATAATGTGCTTTCATTTGTCATTTCCTCTTTTTTTTCCTTTTGTCTTTCAGCACAGCGGAGGGGTGCTTTTCCCGCTCAGACAACTCCATGGTAACTGGCTGGGAGACCTTTTTGCAAGCGCTGGGATATTTCCTTAAAATGTTTTTTGGATCTGCTGCCCTGGGAACCCTCACTGGACTCATCTCAGCTCTTGTATCCAGACTTATTGTGTGTGAGAGAAATTTGATCTCCTGTGTGTGTGTGTGTGTGTGTGTGTTGTCTGTTGTGTGTGGGTGTGTGTGTGTGTGTGTGTGTGTGTCTGTCTGTCTGTCTGTCTGTCTGGTCTGTCTGTGTCTGTGTGTGTCCTTCATCATATTTAAATTCCCTAACTGATTGATTAGTTTCTAAAACACTTCGATCTGAGGAAGACTCCTTCACTGGAGTTTGGCATGATGATAATCTTTGCGTACCTTCCCTATGGCCTGGCCGAAGGCATCAAACTGTCAGGTGTGTGCACACACAGACACATTTAAGTTGAACTTTTTAGGCCTTGTTTTTATGCCATGCTTTCTCTCCACCCACAGGAATAATGTCCATCCTGTTTGCGGGAATTGTGATGTCTCACTACACCCATCACAACTTGTCTCCTGTCACCCAGATCCTCATGCAGCAGACCCTGCGCACAATGGCCTTCATGTGTGGTGAGTGAATCCCGTCTTTTTTCCCCCAATTCCCCTTTTGTTTTTGTTTCAAATAAGTTCTCAATTTTTTTTTCCAAATTCTCTCTCTCCAGAGACATGTGTGTTTGCCTTCCTCGGTCTCTCCATCTTCAGCTTCCCTCATAACTTTGAAATATCCTTCGTCATCTGGTGCATTGTAAGTTTTTTTTAATGCTATCTGAATATTGATGTTGATTTAACCCAATTTGGATTCAGTCCTTTTCATTCCCATGACTGTCACGTGATAGCTGTTGTTCTCTACGTAGGTCCTGGTTCTTCTTGGCCGAGCAGTGAACATCTTCCCTCTTTCATTCCTGCTGAACTTCTTCAGAGACCACAAGATTACACCCAAAATGATGTTCATCATGTGGTTTAGTGGTGAGATGATACAGTGAACCTTTTGACTAATGAGAATAACAATATGATCATGATCATTTATGCTATAATATACATATATAACATAATGTGTGTGTCTTTAGGTGGGTGCAAATAACAACTACAGCTGAAAAAAGGAGTTGATTAATTGATTCATCAATGGACAAGAAATTCATTGTGATTGTATTTGTTATTTTCCATTGCAGCTTCTTTAATTTAATATATATAGTAGTGATAACTTTGGGATTTGAACAACTGGTTGGATAAGAATAACTTGAACCTCACCTTGCCTTTGTGCTCTGGGAAAGCAAAATAGGTAGTTTTCTAATATTTATTTTATAGATTATAGACAAAAAATTAATCAATAGAAAAATAATTGATAATAAGTGCACTTTTTTAATTTGTATCTGGGGGAATGTAAACAGCAGCAACAAGGTTAACATGATAATCTGGTTTTATTTTCACATAAAAAGTTCAACATTTGAGAAACCGTGTCCACTTTGTTGGCTCGGAACACGGTCCGCTGGTGTTTGATCCGGGATGTTGATGGGCAGTCTCTAAAAAGATGTGGGCACAACAGTCTCTAATTTTGTTGTTGTTTGGCCAGCCTGTGTCTCATTTTGTCCAGACAGATCATTAGCCAGGAGTAGGCTTAAGACCAAACTGGGCCAGCATGGCTCGTATACCGGTGCGCTGGTCCGGTCAATCTGGCTTAATCCAAATCCACGCTTCTCTTTTCTGATGACCGTAGACTATTTCTGTCATAAGCTTACATGTTCCAGCAATAAAGCTGTATCTGTTTCTGAAGATAAACATATCGTTTTTCAAGTGCGTGTTCTCATGTAGCCATTTCACAGTCCCATTCCTTTGTCTTTATCTGATAGGTTTGCGAGGGGCGATTCCCTATGCGTTGAGCCTTCATCTGGGCCTGGAGCCCATTGAGAAACGGCAGCTAATTGGCACCACCACCATCATCATCGTACTCTTCACCATCCTACTCATGGGGGGTGGGACCATGCCGCTCATTCGCCTCATGGACATCGAGGAAAGCCAGTCGCGGCGTAAGAACAAGAAAGACATCAATCTCAGCAAGACAGAGAAAATGGTAATGGATGAAGCACGTAGATTTCACTTCGATCCATACACACACACACACACACACACACACACACACACACACAGAGACAGACAGTTTGTTGACTGCATTGATACTAGCTGTGCTATCCTCTCATCTGCTATCAGGCTCTTTCTGTTCTCTCTTCAGAGGGAAAAACATCAAAGGGCTGTTTGTGGTTTGTGTGAAGGACACTGAATCAGCAGGAAGAAAACCACTCATCACAGAGATGCACAGAAACCGTAAAACTCGGACAAGCACAAATAAACCCTAACAACTGACATTTACACATTTTCCCTGACATACTAGAATACAAGCTATTCTGTAGAATATTTCAGCCTTAGCTCTAACTCTGGTGACCTCAATGGTAGGATGTACCCGTTATCTAGTGATGTGTAATGGTGTGTTTGCGTGACTTGTGTGTTCAGTATTTGCATGTGTGATGTCTTCCAAAGCTTAGTGCTACCCCCTAGGGTACGAGCAACTAGATCTATCAACCTTCCATTTTTTCCTCACAGCTCTCATGCCCTCTTTGATGTAATTCCCTCTCTTCGCTCCCTCTGCTGCTTTCTCCCTCATCCCTGGTCCTTCTGTCCTTGATCTTGACTCCACCACCCTCACCTTCCTCTCCTCCATCTCCATTTCACATCGGCTTCATTTGTTGGCCCCTCGCCTTTCATTTCTTTCTTTCTATTTATCTGACTCCCCGTTTTTTCTTCTCTTTTCTCTCCAGGGTAATACCATTGAGTCAGAGCACCTATCAGAACTGACAGAGGAGGAGTATGAGGCTCAGATCTACCATAGACAAGATCTGAAGGGTTTTATGTGGCTTGATGCTAAATACCTTAACCCCTTCTTCACTCGCAGGCTCACCCAAGAGGTAAGAGAGAGTGAGAGAGACAAAAATCTGCGGAGGCAGCTGTGGGGTCGCATGATATTGCTCATGAGCTTTTAAACATAGACTTGAAAATACTCAAAAGTCCTTGTGTTGGGCTTTGATGATGTGTTGAGGGTGTGCTGGTGACAAATCACAGTATGCTCGCAGCTCTTTTCTGCTCAGTGTGACTGTTTCAGTTTCAAAAACTGATCCTCTGACCAAGTAGCACTGAATATATCTATATCTGCAGGACTACAGCAGGCCAGCGTGGTGTGGCTATCCCCTATAATGGAAACACATGCCATTTAGTATACTGTAGGTTTAGTATATACCTCACTAAACTAACACATTATGGTGACACAAAAGAGAGAGCTTCGCCAAGTTGTGTTTGTTGCTACTGAAGATAAGCAGGGTTGGGTAGTAACAGATGAATAAAAAAAATTTAAAGAACAAGTTCTTTTCATGTTCCTTTTTTTTTTAAACTGTACTACTCAAGTATATTTTTGATCCAGTAATCTATTTTTACTACAATACATTCTCCATTTATACCTTTGTTACAACTAGTCTGCTCTAAATGTGAGCATTCAGTGTAAGCGGGGTTGGAGCATGTGAGGAGAACCACGACTGCAGATGCCAAGCTGCCAGCTGCATGGTAGAAAAATAAGCAGCACCTTCTTTTGTCTTTTGACCACAATGTGATGATGACAGAACAAAGCACAGAACCAGAGGCAGCTTCCAGCAACTATTCCTGGCCACATCTGACCACTTTTTATACAGAAATCTGAAAAATAACTTATCTTCTTAATAACTTCATTTATTAACCAGGTACTTTTTTACTTTTACTTGATTCATATTTAATAGGAGTAATTGTACTTTTACATGAGAAGAGATTTTCAGTACTCTACCCACCGCTGAAGATGTTCCTGTACGTCCATTTATTCTTACATGTGTTCTGATGTACCGTTGTGTGTGTCTGTGTGTGTGTGTGTGTGTGTGTGTGTGTGTGTGTGTGTGTGTGTGTGTGTGTGTGTCTCACAGGACCTGTTACATGGCCGGATCCAGATGAAGACCCTGACCAACAAGTGGTACGAAGAAGTCCGGCAGGGGCCCTCAGGCTCTGAAAATGATGAAGATGAAGCAGAACTTCTGTGAACTGAACACACAGTTTATATGAAAACAATGAATGGACATTGTGTGTCCTGGGCTGAGGGAGGGAGAGAGAGAGAAAGAGAGGGAGAGGTAGAGAGAGAGAGAGAGAGAGAGAGAGAGAAGACAAGCAGTCTTTTCAGTGTCAGTCACATGCACTTCTCGTTTGTTCACCTGCCTCCAACTTCATGTGACAGAAGAGTCTCAGTCGGTGCCCACAGTACATTTTTAGAACACAAAGTGGGCGAGAAAAGTGCCAGTAAAACTGGTCTTGAGAATGATGTCCCTTATATGAATGCCATATTGTTACTTGCTAAAGAAATCTTTTCCCAGGCATTTCTTTTTTTAACGGTTTTGAATTGAAGACTGCAGGGAAGCTGAGAGGGAAGTTTTCTATGTAAAGCAATACTACACATCCTGCACATTTTCACTTTTTCTCTTTACCTTTGTATCTGTTCACTGCTACTGTACACGATGCTAGCTTCTTTAAGCTCTGCTGGCATTTTTACTTTGTGTCAGGTGAAGGAAACAACATAATGTCGATAAAGGCTCAGTTTTAATTTTAAAGTGGAATTTGTAAGCCACAGGTGGTTACTTCGAATAACTTCCTGCTTAACTCGATTTAATTCTCCCCAGGTCTTCACATTTGTATGCATTAATGATTCTGAGCTAACACATATATTCATACATATGTTATGAATAATAAATGCTAGAAGTGACACATTATCTACCACTACACCCTCCAGCATCAACGCAACAAAGAGAAATGCAGGAAAGTTAAAAGTGGCACGTGTAACATTATAAAATTAGCTTAAAGGAGAATAATTATGCTCCAGAAAATTGGAAATTGCTTTTCTTTCCAAGTATGGTTCCAGTTTGGTCCTACATGAACGTTTCTGGGTTTATATTCATTCTCATGCTTCTACATTGTGTATGAAGTAGAACTTGAAATATTGCTGTTGTGATTTTCACTGTGGATTTCTAATGAAGATGGGCACCAATGAATGTGTGGGTAACTGGAAATAATGTCTTGTGAATGTTTATGTTTTTTATTTATTTATCAAATGTTTATGTGATGTTTGTGGGATAAAGGCTTTTATACTAGCTCTATGAGCACTGCAGAATTAGAGAAAAAAATCTAGAATAAAACAAATTGACATCCTATATGTTGTATTGAATCCTACTTTAATGGGAGAACTACGCATTTGCCTATTTGTACAAATGCCTTGTTAAAAATGACTGTTTTGTTTTGTTTTTATATTAAGATGTAAACTTTGAATCAACTAAACCTTAACTAAGCTTTGCTAAGACTATTGGAATATTGTATAATAAATAGGAATTGATAATCAGATAAACATATATAGAAAGTATAATCTTTAGGAATGTATAGGTACTTTGATGTAATGCATATTTGCATCTGCCAAACCAAAATTTCACAAAGTAGCACATAAAAGCACTTAAGTATTGAGAGAAAATGGTGAAATACAAAATGATAATCCCATTTTACCAATGGAGTTCCACCTACTAATTCCATAAGCAGCATGTGCTAATTAGTCTTTAGATTGTAAAGTGGGAAATTATGACCGGGTGCCAGACCAGTCCTCAGCGTAATTAGATTACGAAAAAAGGTTAATGTGTGTTCATGCTGGGGACAATATCCTGTTACCTACAGACAAAGCTCTCTTGTCCAACCCTGAGGAACAGCAGGCTGACATATCCCTGAAATGTCTCATGGGATCTCATTAGGCGTACGAGGAGGTGACTGTTAAACTGACTTAAGAAATTACAGTGTCCAAGTCAGTGCAATTAATGTTGTCAGTGGCTCCACAAGCAAAGCATGTCTATGTAAGGTGAGTAGACTGTAATGCATGCTTTGCCACTCTGGATGATATGTAAACACTTTTTTTAATCTGAACATCAGATGATAGAAAAATTCAATTAGTGCAGTTGCTATTTATAAAGACTGTTACACTGTTAGCTGTAAGAAGAGAAAGTGTCATATTGCCACCACTAACCAGCCCATAGTGAATGGACATCAATCTAAAAATAGTAGTGTGCAACTGACTTTGAATGCATAAATAGGCCAGTACTATACTTTACTAACTTGTTTTTGAAAAGCACTTGTCATTTTTCTGGTAAGTAGATTTTTGTAACAAGAATGTAAAGCCAGTAGGGGGCGTCTAAATCCATGGCTTTGGTCCATGAAAAATTAATAATCCCATAGTGGATGGCAGTGCTTCTTTATTCATATTTTACCCAATTATACCCCATGACTTCTCCACTGTGCATTATATATAATTCCACTGAAAGTGGTTGAAATGCATATAATAGTATACTTGGGGAAAAGGACTAAATTACAATTTCCAGTCATTTTCTCCACTAGAGAGCATGTTGCAATGGGATGTGTATGGTACAGTGAAACACATGACTTTTGCCAAAACATGTGAACTGTACCATATTTATTCAATGTGCCTGACCATTCTGGCAGGGTTACCATGGTCATAGTCAGGTCTGACAAAAACAGAAACGTTTGTATGTGATACGACCAAAAAATCATGCTTTTTAGTCTGTAATAATTACGTGTCGATTAAAACTACTGTGGGCTAAGGGTTGTAAAGTGTGGGGGCCAATGGCTCGTTCCTTACTTCTTACAATGTGGTACCTCCATAAAACAATACACATACACCTTGGAGACCTTCACCCTGTGTGGTCTGCCCATCTGGAGTTTCTAATAATAACCAGCTAATAATACACATTTAAAACAAATATACAGTATAAAAAACTCAAAAACACCAAATGAGGTGGTTAGGCTACAAATGTAGGCACGTAAAGGCACCAACTAGCAGTGAACAATTTCTTTGGAAGCCTTTTTTCTCAAAATCACAGTTCAGTGATCTTTAGTTAAGTTAGTTCAATATGATGTGTCTTGCTTAATGTTTGGAGCACAAAGACAATATTGTGATGTCTGTAGAATGCTAAGAACCTCTTTCCAACAGTATTTGAAACTCAAAATGTGTTTTGGAGTGAATGTGACTGAAAATGTTCACTAATATAAGTCACAAATGTTTAAAAAAAGTTTCACAAAAGTTCACATTTTGTTTACCATTGATTTGGGAAATTTGATTGAATAAATGACATTTTTTGTAAGGCAACCCCTAACCTTTTTCATTGCTTAATTATAACATATAGCCTACTCTTATCAGCTTGTCAAAACAATGCTATTTACTGCTTTTTATAAAGAAATACAATTAATATTATGCAGAATTGAGTTCAGCCTTTTGGCCCGGCCCTCCACAATATTTTCTGTTTCTCATGTGGCCCCATGGAAAAAATAATTGCCCACCCCTGCTGTAGTGTATCATCATGACTTTCTTTAGCACTTCATCACTTAAGATGTCATTGCTTGTTTTCTAACTTGCAATGTTCTTTTAGAGATTAGATGAAAGATTAAGTGCACAGTGAGTGAATCCAGCCGGATCCTCTGCCAAATGGCAAATGAAATGATGTTGTTTGAATAAATAGAAAATGTAAATACTATCCTGGTTTGCACATTTGATAATTAATATCTCACAGTGGCACGTTGAAGGTTTCTGATTATCTACATGCACATGCAGATGTGGATGTTGTAGTTCACATCAGGCCTGTAGTCTACAGCAGGGATTTAATTGATTAGCATGCCTTCAATCAGGGATAAATAACTCCTCTGTTAAATCAAAAGCTGTTGATCAGTTGCAGTAAACACCTACAGACTCTTTCCCCTCTATGGCCTTCATCCATAAAGGTGAGCATTCATTTAGCTTTTCATTTGTAGTCACACATGAATGTACTGTGGTAGTTTTGCCCTTCCGCCCTATGAAATTTTGGTTGTAGCAGCATGAAGACTGAGGAAAGAAAAAACAGCTCTTTGTCCACTCTAGCTGAGAGAACTACAACACAGTAATATATTAATATCAATAAACTATTGACTATAGTAAATGCAGACTCACAGTATGCAAATATTTAATCAAGAAGTAAACCGTTTTTCAGTGTTTTTCAAAAGCAGAAATAGGCAGTCCATTCACTCAGTTGCTCGCCTGTTCATACAATTTATTTATTCTCTTTGACATTTGTATGTTTTACTTCTCAAGTGCTGATTCCTTTAACCAGTCATTAATTGTCTATCTGAATAAGTGGCAGGAGTTAAAAAAAAAAAGTTTGAAAGTTTGAGTCACCTCTTTACATTGCATGTGGTAAAAAGGGTCACCCCCTAACTCTAACCCAACCAGGGGAATTTCTTTAGAGTAACAGTTTTGGGACGTGGCATTTCATTTCATTGAATAAGAATAGGCGTATTCCCTAATATATCACATTCTTAAGAATGTTCTGCAAGAAATTACAAATAATTGCTAATCTGTAAACTGCTTGTATCAAGTTAGTTCAAAGTTTATATTGATGGAGGGCTATCTGAGAACAATAACATTGTAACTGGTTATTCCTTTCCCTTTAGTCTGAACATCTTACTGTAACTGAATGAAGTCGGGGCATTTGTATGTACTATTAATACAATTTTCTGCTGGCTGCAACCTGAAGCTGTTTGAAATATTCAGAAAGTTACTACCAGTGAAATTCATGACGACGGCTCAATCTAATAGCCTAGAGGAGATAACTGTCTGGCGTCCCTTGTGTTTAAATCATTGGCACAATGCTGAAAATTCAATTACCCTGAAGCCTGTATCTAATTAGATTCAATTATTTCAAAATGACAACATTTTCTTTTTTCTTCTCCTTACTAAACATTTTATATTTTATATGTTAATTTATCTTTAACCTCTGAACCACACAGACCTGTCAACACAAACACATGCTGTGCAGCCAAATTTAGCTCAAAACGTAAATCCAAAAAACTCTACTCTACAATTCTAGTGGTGATCCCAAAGTTTCCAAAGATGCCAAATATGTCAGGGTGAATTTTGGGGAAATCTAAATGATGCACAGGACATACACAGTATACATATATGTAATATTTCCATTTGGTGGAATGGTTCAGCCATATAATTCATGGACTTGGGTTTGAATATTTCACTCAATGGAAACAACACAAAGGATTGGAGAGTTGAAACAAAGTGATACAAAATATATATGACATATATATTCTGAGCTGTGTCCATTACATCCAGGGTGTTATCAACTGTAAAGGGTTATATATTTACAGAGTGACAAGTCCTTTAACACTTGTCGATCCATGTCCTTTGACAGTGTCTCGACCTGCTTGTGGCAGGTCCAAGCGGTTTTGATGTTGTCTTTGTTTTTGCAGTCATTGAGAACAGTCTCTGCAGTAAAGGCCATCGCTCCTTGAATCAATTTCTAACTTTAAAAAGGCTTGTGTTTAACCAAGAGGTGACTCACATAAAATTATGCTTCAGTAACAGCCTTATTTTAGCTGCAGGTTGTGTGAAAAGCAATAGCTGGGCCTTCAATGCTGATTTCAGCTCATCTATTTTCCTTGCAGAAATTGCACTCTTTGGGTGGTAGCAGTCTTTGTATTTGAAAACACATTTGTCTTTTACCAAAGTAAAATTAAATTCCTCTTCCCACTGTGGATGGAAATTGTACATTTTTGGCTTCTTTCGTGGAGCCTCTGCCATGCTAGTACGCAAGTACCTTTCAGACAAGGCTCACCAGCGGCTGCTGTATATGTTTGTGACAGTTAATGTACCAGTGCTCTTCCCTCATCAAACCAATACATCAGCTTGTTCAAGAGAGGGAAAGAGAGAGGAACTTGCAAAGGTTAACTTGTGGTTTTGGGTGCCCTTGCCCGTTCCGGGTCCTTGTGGTTGGCTCCTGTGCCTGTGCCCTGTGCCGGCTCTGCCCCCCCGCCGGGGTGCGGGAAACCCCAACCCCCGTGGGTGTGTCCGGCTAACCGCCCGTCTTTAAAAGGCTTGTGTTATGACACGTGTGCTGTATTTAGGGGGGGAGCGGGCCTCAGCTGTTGTGCGGGTTTTTGAAAATTGTATTAACGGATTGTATTTGATCAGGTATAAATGGATTCTGATCGATGGGTTGGCAGCCTCTGATATATGGAATACTGTCATGCAGCGTGGTAACCTTGTAAAAAACTATATGTAAAGGGGGAAACTTGGGAAGTGGTGTTCATAGACTTCACCTATATCTGAAGCACTTAGTCC